TTTGTCTAGCGGTATAGTACTTGCCCGAGATTCGATCGTTGGTATCCTATACCTTGTTCAATCTCATTACTGGCAAGTCTCTTTACTCGTTCCGTAACACATCATCCCGCGATCAACTCCTTGATCACATTGTGCACATTATGATGATGTCCTACCGAGTGGGCCCAGAGATACCTCTCCGTCACACAGAGTGACAAATCCCAGTCTCGATTCGTGCCAACCCAACAGACACTTTCGGAGATACCCGTAGTGCACCTTTATAGCCACCAGTTATGTTGTGACGTTTGGCACACCGAAAGCATTCCTACGGTGTCTGGGAGTTGCACAATCTCATGGTCTAAGGAAAAGATACTTGACATGTAGAAAAGCTTTAGCATACGAACTACACGATCTTGTGCTATGCTTAGGATTGGGTCCTGTCCATCACATCATTCTCCTAATGATGTGATCCCGTTATCAATGACATCCAATGTCCATGGTCAGGAAACCGTAACCATCTATTGATCAACGAGCTAGTCAACTAGAGGCTTACTAGGGACATGGTGTTGTCTATGTATCCACACATGTATCTAAGTTTCCTATCAATACAATTCTAGCATGGATAATAAACAATTATCATAAACAAGGAAATATAATAATAACCATTTTATTATTGCCTCTAGGGCATATTTCCAACACAGACTTGGATCCCGACGCGACGAAGATTGTCCAAGCCTATCGCGCGAACAGATTGAAGAGCTTGGCGAAATTGGAGGAGGCCGGACCAGCCAAAGAGTGAGGTCTTTGCCATGGACGCCAGACTGTGAGCCAAAGAAGGAGGTCATTGGAACGGACAACCTGACTAGCAACATTTATGATTGGTTCGGGTTAAAAACTTATTGAACATCTGGAGCTTTTTGGACATGATTGCACATGTTTAAAACTATTAGGCATGTAAATGATATTCATCTAAATATGTTTTCAAATGGAGGAGGCTGGACTAGGACGTATGCCGTTGGATGATCTCCGCCCCTTACCCGTGACATTTGGTGATATTGGTAGTGGCGTTGGAGTTGCACAGAACACGTTGGGGAGATAAGGGCATCTTCAACGATAACCTGCAAATTTTCTTTCGCATCCGTCCGCGGGCAGGGGGGACCAGTCCGCCGACACGGATGCGGGAGGCCACCATCCAACCATACCCGCATATATTTCAAACTCTTTTTCAACAAATCGGATGAAATTCGTGCAAACAAGGCCGTATTTCATATAAACATGACAGATTTCATACAAACACGACATATTTTCATTACATTTCGAACAAAAAAATGACATGTCCCTAAACCTATTCTATGGCGGGGGCGCCCAACGTCCAACCCTTGTCGTCTTCCATACGCTGTCTTCATGACCACCGTCGATAAGACCGATGAAGTGAAGGTGCGGTCTTCGGCGAGGAAGAGTATAACACGGGAGACGATGCCCTTCTGCCTCCCATGGCCTACTCATCCTCGGAGGAGTCCATGACCTGTCCGTCACCGGTGGACGTGAGGTCCATGATAGAAATGGTGGCACCGGCGTTGTCCTCGTCCCAGTGTGTCGCTTGATGGTTCGTCGGCGACGCGTAGGAGGAGCAGCTGACATTCTTCTCGTCCGCGATCGCCTGCAGTTGCGCCTCCGCAGTGGCTGCTTCCTGGCAAGTGGCGACTTGAGCACGGACGACATCATAGATGGCACGCTGCTCCGTAACGAAGTTGGGGTTCGTCGCGACAATGGCCGTCACGGCCTCCTCGCTCGCCCGCTCACCGTAGATCTGACCATGCGCGAGCCAGTGCTGCTGCAGGACAACATGTTCCTCATGCGCCTACTGGAACACCGACAGAGGCGTCGGCGGCTACACCTCCTCCAAGGCGGCGTTGTAGTGCGCCTGCGCCTGCTCCATGGTGAAGCCGGCGTGCACAGGGGGCACGGGAGCCGGGGTGGTGTCGTCGGAGCTCGTCTCCATCGTGGTGTCGTCCTCGGTGTCAGAGACCTCTGGCGAGCTGGCCAGCAAGCTGACCTCAATCCTCCTGGCACGGCGGCTCTGCCAGGCAGGGGCAAGGGCGACCACGACGTGCTTTGTCTCCGTGGAAAGGCTTTCCCATAGAGCTTCGCCGGCTACAGTCATGGCAGATGCAGTGCAAGGGAGGAGGATGAGGAGGGGCTTGTGTTATGATGTGGAGTTAGTTGGGTGTGGACGCCTTTGAATAGCGGATTCCGATGAGGCGAGTCATAGGGTGCGTCAATGCGCGGTGCAGGAGTGGATTTCTCGGCCAGCGAGCCTGCTTAATGGTGGCATACAGACGGTCAACGGCATTGAACTGGCATGGTCACCGAAGACGCGTCGCGGCCGGCGCCCCCGGCCGACGCGCCGCTTCAATGGCGGTGGCAGTGAAAGGTCGCATCTGTCCTGAGTCGTCTTCAATGTTGAACGGCGCGCTCTACAGCGGCATGAATGTGGACAGCTGACGTCGGACGGGAACGCGTGCGGGTCAGGGAGAAGGGGTTTTGATGGGTCAGGGCGGTCAGAAAAGGGTGTGGAATCAGTTCGGAATTCCGTAAAACCCTCATCTTTGTCTCCGGTTTACGGGAGAAATTACGTCCGGACCGTATCGCGGACTGATACCGACCCGCGTTAGATGTCCTCCGTTGTCCGGACAGCGCAAGCCTAAACAAAGGGCGACTCATACGCGCCGGCGCGCCGGCCTAATAATTCGGCCGGTCCACTGTGAACCGTCTGATTAAGTCATCCGCAGTCATACGATCCAAGCGGTCGTCTTCCTCTGTTCCTCATGAGCACGTACGTAAAAAAGACCCCTGCCTCTCATCGCTCCCCTTCGTCTTGTCGGGTCACACGCTGCCCGGTTGCCGCACCTAGCCAGCTGTCCTCTTCATCGGTCACCGCCCTTCGGACGTCCTCGTTGCCGGTTGCCGCCCTCGCCGGATGTCCTTGTCGCCGGTTGTCGCGCTCGCCGCCGAGCGCCGCACTCGCCGCTGGTCGCCGCCTGCACTTGACGCTGACTCCACGCATGCAGCTGCGGACTGCGGTCACAGCTCTGGTGGCGACGGCCGCAGCTCGCTGGCATGGTCATGTCCCTCACCATGGACGCATGTCTTGCATCTCATGTCCATGGATGCATCGCTGCTCTGGCCGGCACGATTTGCAGCGCGCGACCCCATGATTGCAGCACCAGGTTGCACCGCTCTGTCATCCTCGCCGACAACGCTCTCTGGCGCCCGTTTGTTGCCCCATCGCCGTCATCTCCTTGGGTCGCTGCTTCCCCGATTATAACCATGGTAGCAAAATAAAAGGCCGGATGTAGCTTTTGTTGGTGCCGGTTGCAGGCTTGCAGCTCACCGTGGTAGCGCCCCCGTCTTCATCTCAGAACTGCTTGATTTGGTTGAAGCAAAAAAAAAACACCGGTTCCAGCTATTGTAGGCAACGGTTCCAGCATCCGCATCGCATGGTTGTAGCTCCGCCATGAAGCAAAGGATTGTGTGCCGGTCGTAGCATCATGCAGCTCTGCCATGAAGGATGTATCAAATTTCCTCGCCGGTAGTAGCAAAAGCGGACGACGGTTGCAGCAAAAAGGTCGTCGCCGTCGCACCATTGCCTGTGAATGCAACTCCCGTAGTGGTTAGTTCCAGCAGTTCTTACCAACGGTTGTAACTTTTGGCGACAGTGCTTCTAGCTTCCCCGAGGCAACGTATGCAGCTTCCGGCGACATTGGTTCCAGCATCTCCCCCGTCGCTTCCAGCAACCCTCGTGGTCGGATGTAGCATCTAAATTTTCCGGTCCCATCATCCGGACGGTAGCTCATGGCATGGATTTGCAGCACATAAGAGGGCATGGTGTCGTCGCCCCCGGCCGCCCCTTGCTGCCAAAATCGGGTGCGGCCGTGTCGGGAGAGAGGCCGACGCTGGCCCCCGTTCGCTTGCCGACTCCACGCTCACCACGGGTCACTGTCGCGCCGTCGTTCCCAACACCCGGGTGGCTGGCTGTGGCTGCAACATTTTTCTCAGCCGTCGTGTGCTGTTCATGGAGTGGAGTAAAAGAGAAGACGGTCGTGTGGTGGTACCGGCAGGCTTGCGGGCGTGGAGCCATGGATTGGGAGCACGCGGGATTCCGTGTGTGGCTGGAGAGCAAGATGAGAAGAGATAAGGCAGCAGTGCTATGGGTCCACAAAAACATGTGGTTGGGACAGTAGGAGGGAAGAACCAGCGCCATAGGATCTGTGGCGATCCGACGCAGCGTGCGCGTCCGGCCGAAGACTCGGCCGGTCCGCCGTTGTTAGACGTTTCCCTAAACAAAGTTGGGGCGAGCGAGTGTAGCGGGTAAAAAAGTTGCTAGCCGGTACGAGAGTATTGGAGCTTGTGTACCTAACGAGAGCGACTGCATAACAAGACGCACAATCCGAAACACGGCTGTATTCTACACTCTCCACTCCTACTGGTACGTACGGAGCATCTGCCCGCAAGTAAATCCAACCCGGCCGGAGAGGCGGTTAAGCGATAGCGATAACACATCGACCCGAGCGGCACCTCACGTTGTTCCTCCGCAGCCTTGTCGTCGGTTCCCTGTACACGCGCCACTTACCACGGGTCCGGCTCCACCTCCCTCACGCTTCCCGACGCATCCACGCCCGCCGCGGCACACGTGTCGCCGCCCCACCCCGGCGCGCGCTCCTCCTTCCCCCAGTCCGCGCATCCGGCACGCACGCACGGCACACTCGCCTCCCCATTCCTTCCCCTCCCTCCTCTCCTCCTCTTCAAAGACCACCACTCCTCCCTCCCTCCCCCGACGCCCACCCCGAGGCCAGGGATCCCGATGCAATCGCGGGCCGCAGTCGCCTAGCCGCCGCGAGGGCTCCACAGCGCGATCGAGGAGGGAGGGGGCTCCGCAGGCCGGGCGCCGCGAGGGCTAGCTGCGTGGCGCGTGCGCCGGGGTTGGATGAGAAGGGCGAGGGCGGAGGAGGAGGAGGAGGATGCGGAAGGCGTACAGGGACTCCCTCAAGGTGCTCGAAGCTGACATCCAGCACGCCAACACCCTGTAAGCACCCCCGATTCCGACGCCTCGCTCCTGAATTTCGCCCCAAATTTGCCTGCTCGCCGCCCGCTCTCCCCTTTGTCGGTGGGAGGGATCGGTCCATGGGTTTCCGCGGGGCTCGTGGGACGCCTCCAGCGTCCGCCGCGGCTGCGCAATGCGGCCTGGGAGATCGATCGACCGATCGATCGGTGGGTGGGTGGGTGAACCGCGCGTCGGCGCCTCCGGTTCGTCAGACGGAATTCATAGCGGCGGTTGGTCTGGCATGGCAGTCATTTAGACTAGCATTATTATCATTATCCGTGTGCCCACGGGCGGTGGAATGGTGGCAGATCAGCAGCGGGAGGAGGAAGAGATCACATGTGTTCCCCATGTCATATTAAAACACTCTGCCCCATGTGTTTGCGTTGTAAATTATACTAATCCTTTAGACGAAAAGGGGGAGGATTCAGGGCAAGGGAGTGGGATCTCTGACCGCAAGTGATCTATCTGACGTGCAGGGCGACTGAATTTCCGCGGGAGTACGATGGGGCGTGCCTGCAGATGCGGCTGTCGTTTAGCCCCGCCGCGCACATATTCCTCTTCCTGGTGCAGTGGACGGACTGCAGCCTCGCTGGGGCTCTCGGATTGATGAGGATCCTCATATACAAGGTTCTGTTGCTCGTTCAACCTCATCATGGCTGTTGGTTCGCTGCTCGTGCTTTAATGAGATTGTAGCTCGTCGTGCAGGTCTACGTCGATGGCACAACCACCATGTCGACCCATGAGAGGAAAGCCAGCATCAAGGAATTCTATGGTATGAGATGAGTTCCTTGTTACTTTAGCCGAAGGTCTGACTATGCTGCCTGTATACTGATTGTACTGTTTTATTGACTGGAATTGTTATACAGCTGTAATATTTCCTTCTTTGCTGCAACTGCAAAGAGGGATCACTGATATGGAGGACAAGAAGCAGAAGGCCGTGTGTATGGAGAGGTACAGAAGGAGAGATGAAGACGAAACAAGCAGCTTATCTGATGTTGATGCTGAGAGGGAGGAGGAATGTGGGATCTGCATGGAGATGAACAGCAAAGTTGTGTTGCCCAACTGCACACATGCGATGTGTCTCAGATGCTATCAGGACTGGTATGCACAAACTTTCAGCTTCTCCCCATGCGTTTCGTGTGATTGCATTTCAGTGGCGTATAACCCTCCCACACCCTACCAAACATTGAGGCGTTGATAATGTGGCTTTATAGATAGGTTTTCTCCTCTCTAGTGCCTCGTGTTATGTATGTTAGCTACACTCCCTATTATCCTTCTGTCGCATGGATGTCTCTTGAGAATAATGGAAGTTTACATTACACCCCACAAAACCAAACGTGGAGCTGTTTATAGTGTTGACTTGTGGATAAGCTTATGCCTCATTTTCAGGTTGCTTCTCCACATTCCTGTTCTTATAGCCTTATACACAATATCAAGCCTTATAAATATGGCATCATTTTGATTTCGAATGGCTAAACAGAACAGGAATAATACTTTCTGAATGATGCAGCAATTTTTTTTATGTATCTCCATTACTATGGGTTCCATCGTACATTCCTGGAATGAGCAACACCCTACAAAGTGGATGTCCAATTTGCAAACTGCGGATAGTCTAAAAATGCATTGACTGACGACTTAAGACTTCCCTGAACTGTATTCTATTGTTCTTTGCTCTGAACAACATAACTCTGTATTTTATTGAGCACTGACTGTTCTCCTAGTTTTTGGTCCAGTTTGTGTACATGCTTTTTGTGCACCATGTGTGTAATCCAGACAGTGTGCTTTGTCAATTAATTAGGGATATGATAGTGTAGGCTTAGGTCGTACTTGCATTTACTTTAGCTGGCCATTCACTAGTTAGACGCTGTGTGGGTTCTGCAGATCAACGTAGTTTCATGTTTTTGAAAACGCTTATAGTGCCATGTGGTGATTCATGTGTTCACTGTATCAGTTTTTTAACAACTTCCACGTGGTGTTCCTACAACAGATATGATCTACTCCCTCCGTTCTTAAATATAAGTCTTTGTAGAGATTCTACTACGTACCACATACGGATGTATATAGATGCATTTGAATTGTAGATTCATTCATTTTGCTCCGTATGTAGTCTACCTAGTGGAATCTCTACAAAGACTTATACTCCCTCCGTCCGGAAATAGTTGTCATCAGAATGAATAAAAAGGGATGTATCTAGATGTATTTTAGTTCTAGATACATCCCTTTTTGTCTATTTTGATGACAAGTATTTTCGGACGGAGGGAGTATTTAGGAACGGAGGGAGTATTATCTTTTCTTGCAGCCCATGAATAGCTTATCTGGCAGCATAACATGGAATGTTCTCCTATACTTCTGGAGCTGCCATGTAGTTACGACCGTTACAACGTCTGTTTGTTGTTCCAAAACAATGCTTTAACAGAAAAATATTGTATATTGCAGGAACTCGAGGTCACAGTCCTGCCCATTCTGCCGCGACAACTTGAAGAAGACTGACCCTGGTGACTTGTGGATTTACGTCGAGGACGATGACGTGGTCGACATGGAGACGGTATCAAGAGAGAACCTCAGACGGCTGTTCATGTACATAAACAAGCTCCCTCTGATCGTGCCTGATGTCATCTTCAGTGTCTATGATTCCCACATAAAATGAATGGCGCGGCACTCCCTTATCAAAGTCCTCAGCCAAGTGCCCAGCTCCTTTTAATCTATTTCCGAAGCTCCCAAGCTCTCTGATTTCCATGCTTGTACTCAAGCTCTTCGAAATGCCTGAACTGTCGCATTTGTAGTCGCAAACCTTTTGTTTGTGCTTTAGGTCTTATATTTAGTGCGTACCTGCATGCTTAAGCTAAGCATATCCAGCCAGTTTGTATATATCTCACATGGCTCTGTTAATAGAGAACTGTAGCTTGCCCCAAATGGAGGCGGTGCTGTTTAATATCCTCCCATGCTTCCCCCCCTTTGTATAACTGTCTTCAGGTTTGAGCACTGAAGCTGGTACTTGCTCCTTAAGATTATTCTGCGCAGTTCGCATCAACTGTTCATGTTATAAAATTATATTGCTAAAGTTGTACCAAAGCTGGATCGGTTAATGCCTGTGAAATCGACATAACAGTGAGAAGTTGGCCCTTCAGCAACAATATTTGCATTGGGTAATATCTGTTAGTCTGAAACTGCAACATCATAAATGAGTAAAACATCCGCAGATTTTTATGAGATACTGTTATTCGAGGCCATTTGGAGCGCAGATATAAGCTCAGCTCTCATGTAAATTTAGAAGAAGAAGAAAACAATTTGAACTCAACAACCGCACAATCGGCGAAGTGAAGAAGCCTTGATGCTCCGATCCTGATGATTTCTAGAGATCCATGTACATCCGGTAAGCATTCCTCTGCGCGGAGTAGTAGCCCTCGATGGTGGCGTCGACCTGGAACCCGGCCTTCCGGTAAAGCGCCACCGCGGCCGTCCTCGCCGGGTCGACGTGGAGGGACACCCGCTGGACCCGCCTCCTCCGGCACCTGTCCACGGCGGCCTGCAGCAGCGCCTCGCCCAGGCCCTGCCTCCGGCAGCTCTCCTTCACTGCACGCACGCGCCAGGAATTCAGACCAAATTAAAGCTTCGACCGGGCAGGGTGATAAAATCAGTGCGAGGGTCTCACCGGCGAGTTTGGTGATGGAGGCGCAGAGGAAGGTGGTGCAGGTGTACATGGCGTACCCAGCGACCTCCTCGTCGTCGCCGACGCCGGACGTCGAGTAGATCAGGCCGGTGTTCCGGCGTTTGAGCTCGTCGTGGAACGAGCGCGCCAGCGACTCGTGCTTCGGGAAGATCCTCTTCTCCAGCCGCACGATGTCGTCGATAACGCGGCCGGCGCGCTCGTGCGAAGAGTCCAGCTCGAGGATCGTCGCTTCGGTCGCGGCCGCCGCCATAGCTCGTCACGGATGGGAGTGAACGTGGAGCTCTCTTTTGCAATTTGCCCCCGCTTCTTCCCCAATTAGAAAATCAGTAGACCTATAGCAGCAAAAAGGGAAATTGCTTGGACAGAACTACTCCCTCTGTCCCTAAATATAAGTCTTTGGAGAGATTTCACTATGGACTACATACGGAGCACCTAAATATAAGTCTTTGGAGAGATTTCACTATGGACTACATACGGAGCAAAATGAGTGAATCTACACTCTAAAATGCATCTACATGCATCCGTATGTGGTTTATAGTGAAATCTCTCCAAAGACTTATATTTAGGAACGAAGGGAGTATATCAGTAATTTTGACAAGCAACTTGTGAACTTTTTTGTTTTTGAGAAACTTCAGAACATTGTTCATGTGTACCTCGTGGGTGAATTTGTAGAATCCGTGCGAGGTGTGGAAGTGGATCCTCTGACATGGAAGGAAAGTCACCTAAGCTACAGTGCAAGCTAGTGTAAAATAGAAAAGAAAAGTCACGGATACTGTAGCGAACGTTGTATTATCTATTTAAGTAGGTATTGTACACAGTTACTGTTGGTAAATAAATTTAAAATTAATTTTATTACATCATAATTTGTTTGTATGTAATTTTTGCAAATGTATAAAGTAGATTAATAATTTGCAAATTGATTCAAGTCATTTTAGCGTTAATCATATGAAAGTGAAGGAGGAAAGTTAGAGAATTGTAGCTTAGATGATTTTCCTCCTTCATGTTAGAGGATCCACTTCCGCGAGGTGTACGGCGTGTCCGCCAGTTGATTCATCATTGTGACCTTCTCCATTTTTTTCATGAAAAGGATATTTATTGATCAAGGCATAAAGTTATGACAATCAGCAGCCACAATGCTAGTGATTTCCTCCGGGGCATTACACAACCAACAAGCAGTGTGTTCTTGCGATCTACTACCAGTAGAGCCAATGCTATGATCGGCTACATTACCTTCACGCTTAACCTTTTCTAACCGACAACAGTGATCTAATCTCCAAAATGTGACGTGCATGCATCGACCAGTCCTTTCTCGGCTTCTCGATCATCTAGATCGATTCAGCACAATCAGTTTTTACCGTGAAGTTGAGCTCCGTCCAGCTCAAGGCGAGGTAGATTCTTTTCCGGATTGCAGCAATCTCGGCCTGAGGCGTATTGTTACAAAAATTTGACGATCTGATTGTTGCAAAAATAACCACTCAAGCATGGTCTCTGCTTGTGACCTTCTTTTGAGGGAAATCATTCGTATCTCATTTTAGAAAATCTATTATGATTTTCTTTTAGCATAACCGGTGCAAGTATCGTTTTTTTATATGCTAAGTATTGTTTTTATTTTCCAATGAGTGGTATCAAAGGAATCTCGCAGGCCTGGATTCTGGCAAAAAAAAGATATTTCTTTGACAGGTGGCCAAGAATCGGATAACGAGTGGTAACCAGGTCATTATGTCTTATGAGGCATGGGCCAGGTGATGGCAAATGTGTGTGGTGCGGACTTGACGAAAACTACGACGACATTCTCTTATGTATTATGGCGAGAATTGCATGGAGTGTGCTGAGGGAGGCTTTTGGTTGTGCGTGGAATCCGTCCGGTTTCACGGACTTCTATCGCCTTGTTCAGGGATCAAGAGGGAAGGATCGTATGTTGGCTTGGGTGAAGTTCGGCGCGCTAGCTTGGATGCTATTGACAACCCATAATAAAGCGCTTATAGAAGGATAGTTGCTTCGGCATCCAATGGACTTGATGTACAAGCTGGTGGTGCTTTTGCACCCATGGAAGTTGTTGGCGAGACCCAAGGATCGGACGCAGGTAGATCAACTTATCACCAGGCTGCGTGCAAGATGCATTGAGTTACAACGACCTACGAGCAGGGACATCACCAACTGGGGAGCTGCCCACCCGCCTGTCGCTCGCTTTGAGTGGTCGTCTATCTATCTTTGTCATTTTGCAGGCACTGTGTAGCTATGCTTGGCCCTCGTGACCGTGTGTCGTACTATCCTTTTTCTTCTTCAATGTTCCTCAAACATTTGTTGAACCTTGTAAGGGCCGCATTTTAAGGCCGGGCACGTGACTCTCTAAAAAGGTATAAAAATATACACCTTCACTTCAAAATTATAGTTTTTTCCTAAGTCACTCTTCTTGAAGTTTGATAAACTCTACATAAAAATATATTTGCATCCACATCAATGTAGTTTTGTTAGGTTTGGAATAAAAGATGATGTCATAGATATTAATATTTTATTTTTACACATTTGACCAAATACCGAGGAACTTTACAAGACAAAACTATACCTTGTATATATTTTTGAATGGTGGGAGTGTGTGTGAGATCTTAGTTGATCACAGTTTTTATCTCATGCTAAGACATCAAACTATACATGTGCTATGAATATCTGAATTAAGGATATAGCGTAAAACGAATGCATATATAATGCCCAACAAGAGTAAGTTGTGAATGTGCATTGAATTGTACCCTTTCAAAACAACTAGCATCAAATGACCACCTTTTTGTTGAATGGTATATGAGTTCTCTGGACCCGGAGCTTCACTAAGAAAAACGTTGGTGATAGTACGAAGCTCAAACAAGAAAAGAAAATTACATCTCAAACCATGTCATTTGCATGCCGGGAGGAGGGGGGTCCTAAACAGAGAACGAAGAAACACAAACGGGTCCAAAACGCAGCTCTGGCACTACTTAGAACTACAGGACCACCACTACTCTATCTCCAACTACCGATGTTGCCGAAGATAGGATTAGTTGCCTCTACAACCTTGATACAATGCCCCCCTTTAAGCATAGTGGGCGGGAGGAAGAAAAGGAGTCGCTTCATAGATCCACCAGACCTTCCTTTGATCAGAATATTCGCCGGAGGGGCAATGAAAATCAACATGCGACTCGCAAGCCGACGGCGTTGCTCCACCACAAACATCGGAGAAGTAACATCAGCCTCCAATCGACTAGAGCATGAACTCCTCGTCTTCCTTTCTCTGTCCCCCTCACCTTGATGGCGACCCATGAACTGTTGGGGAACGTAGCAATAATTTAAAAATTTCCTATGTATCACCAAGATCAATCTAGGAGATTCTAGCAACAAGAGAGAGAGAGGATGTGCATCTTCATACCTTTGAAGATCGCTAAGCGGAAGCGTTACTAGAATGTGAATGATGGAGTCGTACTCGCGGCGATTCAAATCGCGGAAGATCCGATCTAACGCGAACGGACAGGGCCTCCATGTTCAACACACGTACAGCCCGGGGACGTCTCCTCCTTCTTGATCCAGCAAGGGGAGAGGAGAAGTTGAGGGAGAGCTCCGGCAGCACGATGGCGTGGTGGTGGAGCTTGCAGTTCTCCGGCAGGGCTTCGCCAAGCACTACGGAGGAGGAGGTGGTGTTGGAGAGGGGGAGGGCTGCACCAGGGGAAGGGTGCGGCAGCCCTCCCACCTCCCTTCTATTTATAGGGGCAAGGGAGAGGGGGTCGGCCCCCTCCAGATGGATCTTGAGGGGGGCGGCGGCCAAGGGGGGAGGCTTGCCCCCCAAGCCAAGGGGGGCACCCCCTTTAGAGTTCCCCCCCCCAACCCTAGGCGCATGGGCCCTAGGGGGGTTTGGCGCCCAGCCCACTTAGGGGCTGGTTCCCCTCCATATTCAGCTCATCGGGCCCTCCGGGGCAGGTGGACCCTCCTGGTGGACCCCCGAAACCCTTTCAGTGGTCCTAGTACAATAATGATAAACCCCCGAACACTTCCGGCGATCGAATAAGGACTTCCCATGTATAAATCTTCATCTCCGGACCATTCCGGAACTCCTCGTGATGTCCGGGATATCATCTGGGACTCCGAACAACATTTGGTAACCACATACTATTTCCCATAACAACTCTAGCGTCACCGAACCTTAAGTGTGTAGACCCTACGGGTTCGGGAATCATGCAGACATGACCGAGACATCTCTTTGGTCAATAACCAACAGCGGGATCTGGATACCCATGTTGGTTACCACATGTTCCACGATGATCACATCGGATGAACCACGATGTAGGGGATTCAATCAATCCTGTATACAATTCCCTTTGTCAATCGGTATGTTACTTGCCCGAGATTCGATCATCGCTATCCCAATACCTCGTTCAATCTCGTTACCGACAAGTCTCTTTACTCATTCTGTAATGCATGATCCCGTGACTAACTGCTTAGTCACATTGAGCTCATTATGATGATGCATTACTGAGTGGGACCAGAGATACCTCTCCGTCATACGGAGTGACAAATCCCAGTCTCGATTCGTACCAACCCAACAGACACTTTCGGAGATACCTGTAGTGCACCTTTATAGCCACCCAGTTACATTGTGACGTTTGGTACACCCAAAGCACTCCTACGGTATCCGGGAGTTACACAATCTCATGGTCTAAGGAAATGATACTTGACATTAGAAAAGCTCTAGCAAACAAACTACACGATCTTGTGCTATGCTTAGGATTAGGTCTTGTCCATCACATCATTCTCCTAATGATGTGATCCCGTTATCAATGACATCCAATGTCCATAGTCAGGAAACCATGACTATCTGTTGATCAACGAGCTAGTCAACTAGAGGCTCACTAGGGACATGTTGTGGTCTATGTATTCACACATGTATTACGGTTTTCGGTTAATACAATTATAGCATGAGCAATAGACAATTATTATGAACAAGGAAATATAATAATAACCATTTTATTATTGCCTCTAGGGCATATTTCCAACAGTCTCCCACTTGCACTAGAGTCAATAATCTAGTTACATTGTGATGAATCGAACACCCATAGAGTCCTGGTGTTGATCATGTTTTGCTCGTGGAAGAGGTTTAGTCAATGGATCTGCGACATTCAGATCTGTATGCACTTTACAAATATCTATGTCTCCATCTTGAACATTTTCACAAATGGAGTTGAAGCGACGCTTGATATGCCTGGTCTTCTTGTGAAACCTGGGCTCCTT